ATAAGACCACAATGTAACCACCAAAAAAACCGCACGAAAATTGGTCAGAATTATGATATTCGGCTGGCATTAGGAAACATCCCATGTTGTGATACGAATAGGATTTTAAATAGAAACGCGTCTAAGCGTCTTACTGTAATTCATCTATTTGTAGCGACAATCAATTGCAGTTTTAAGAGTAACATGGATCCAAAGACAGTAAGTGCTTAGGTACTATTGTTTAACTCTATTTGCTGGAGGTATTCAACTCTATACTTTCTACATTCTAGTTTACAATTCCTAAATCTAAAGAGATGCACGAGTACTTTTCGTCAGTTCCATTTACAACCTGTAAAATCATCGAATTTCTGCGCCAGCTCGATGTCGACCAAAAACTAAAGAGTTCCGAACAGAGATTGATCGAAAGAAGTTACGTGAAACACCTCGAATCATTAAACAAGAACAAGACTCTCCCGCAATTCGCTCGAGATCACACAAGCAAGCTGATAAAAGAGCTATCTGTAAGTATTATTTCCTATTTGTTTAGTAGCTCTTTGCAAAATGTGAGTATGTTGATAATAATTATGTCAGTCTAAGGAGATCGTTTCATTTTGGGATTCGATAGTAGAACGTGAAAAACATCGTGACGCGATTACAAGTTGCTTGAACAAGTTCGAAACAAGCATGTCTCAATTGGTGGTGCTGACGTTGCTAGAGTGCAAAAAAAATATGAGGTAGTCGAAGAAGCTTCTACAGAGAAAAAGCGGAAAGACGAGGATGTCATCGAATCGACACCACCCACAAAAAAGGTAATGGCACAGCGGTGTTTTCCTCACTAGTTCATATGTTTACATTGATTGAAAAAACTTACATATATCGATTTATAATCCAGTCTAGGTCAGATTATGAATCACCGTCTTCATCTGAAATGGAGAAATTACCTTCGCTAGTAAATGATTCAGTTTATGATGACGAAGATGATGAAATTACGATAATAAGAGATGTTCCTCAACTATCTTTAGAGAATAGAGATCTTGAAGGCGCTTTTTTTATAGAAGGATGTAATATTTCAAAATTATTTCGACAATATCAAAACGAATCAATTAATCTTGCCAATTCTGATGGTTTATATGTTGAGACAAATGTCCACGAAATTTTAGCTTTGACTTCAATATTTATGCTTTCGCCAAATTCTCATTCCGAAATGATGATTAACACCTTTGGTTCCCACTTATTGGATAAAATACATAAAAGATTCTTTCCAACAAATAAACGAGAATTAGATGCGGAATGTGAATCTAAATTTAGGAGAATAATAAAGCAATCAATCAACGATTCACGAGACAGTGCTATTAAATCCTCATTAGAATACTTAGCAGAAAATAATTCAAAGGAAAATCTAGGATTTGTAATTTTAGAAGGGTTGAGATCATTACCTAATTTGAAATTAAAAGTCAACCAAGCGAAATGTCGTTAATTACTAATTATCTGGATTATATAATGAAAGAATTACTTCATGAGCCTGACAACATAGAGTTGAGTGGCCGAATACAGGACTCAAAGAAAGTAAAGCGAGAAAATTGGAAGGCAGAGCTAGACAACCCGATTTCATAGTATCAGCAATTCATCAATTAGAAACAAACGGAACACTATTTATAGGCGAAGTAACCTCTCCTGCGGAAAAAGGAAATGTACATAAAAACTGTAACGACTTGATTCGCGTTGGTGTTTTTATGAAGGAATGTATTGATTCAGCCATAGATAAAGGTGCAGATGTTAAGCTTTTAGGATTTCAGTGTATTGGTAAGATAAATTAAAATTATGGTTGCTTTGTTCCTTCATGCAATCCTAAAATAATTTCATCATTTGCTTTCTAGAATATACAATTGATTTTTACGTAATGGAACTTAGTGCTCCGGGGCTATATTTTATGTATCATATCGGTCAAGCTTCGATTCCCACCTCAGTAAAGTCAATGACACATTTTGTTGATGATATAGAAACTTTTCTAACAGTACGTGATATTTTTCGAGAATCATTTGTTAATTTTTATAATAAATTATGTAATCCGAAAGAGCAAACAACAAAAGTATCATTTAAATGTGAGACCTTATCTACACCAAGTTTCAATCAACTTGTTAGCAATACGTGTAATGTCAAAAGAAAATGCTCTTTTTGGTTTGGAAGGTTTTAGAGGAATTAAAATTGTTGATATAAATAAATCTGTTATACAATTCCGGTCGTAAATTTTATTACCAATAAATATGTGACACATACAGTATTTATTGATATTATAGAGTAAAAAAACACGATAAATGATTTTTACTTTGGCTTTAACCTTTTCTACTGGTTTGTATCGGTAAAATTCTGAATCATATGCTATATCGTACGCATTTTGAGCTTCTGATTTTTATACTGTGATCGGATCATAAATGCTTAGTATTTATTTACCCAAGCAAAACTGCTATGATTCACGGCTACGAGGTGAATCATGTAATTTATTATCGATTCACATATATACATTCATATTTTATTCGTGTAGGTAGATGTGTATTGGAAAATAAAAATTTCTTGGCAAAATTCGATCGTTACCATTGGTAACGGTTTTTTAAAATCACATGATGTTTTTTCTAGCAGATACAAAGCACAAAGTACATCTGAAAATCTCGTGACTGAAACTTCAGCCGGCTAAAATTATTCTAAAAATTTTTTTATCTTTCACCTCGCAGTTCAATTTTGATGAGCTAGTCCAGACTCTGCCATCAGAAAACAAGCTAATCATATGTTTCAGGAGATAAATTTAACTGGATGCTGATCCCGCTTCTGCGCAATTTTGACGACTCTACCATCAGAAAAAACTATATTTTTTTGCATGTATATTTTCCCGAATTCCGTTAGACTTATCTGGCTAAAGAAAAAAAATCTGAAACCTGATTCCTGTGATACGTCATACTCCTCTGATTAATGGATCTGAGAATAATTTAGCTATTATA